TCGAGACCAGCCTGGCCAACATGGTGAAACACTCTCTCTACTAAAAATACAAAAAAAAAAAAAATTACTGGACGTGGTAACGCACGCCTGTAATCCCAGCTACTCAGGAGGATGAGGCAGGGGAATTTTTTTTTTTTTAAGATTGGGTTTCACCATGTTGGGTCAGGCTGGTCTTGAACTCCTGACCTCAGGTGATCCGCCTGCCTTGGCCTCCAAAGTGCCTGGATTACAGGCGTGAGCCACCACACCCGGCAAAGGCAGGGGAATTGCTTGAACCAGGGAGGTGGCAGTTGCAGTGAGATGAGATCGCATCACTGCATTCCAGCCTGGGTGACAGAGTGAGACTCCATGTAAAAAAAATATATATATATATATATATGTGTGTGTGTTTGTGTGTGTGTGTGTGTGTGTGTGTGTGTGTGTGTGTGACAAATTTCAGACACGACCACATCCAGGCAATATTTTTAAATAAATCAAGTTTCCTTTCTTCCATTTCTACTTTCTATTCCTTTTTGCCTAATTTTAGTGCCTGTCTTTCTAACGTCACCATCTTTAACACATTTATTACTTTCAGGTTCTCTAATAACGCTCCAGTAACAGAGGAAAACAGTTTAATGAACTAATTTATCACTGAATTTCTGAATGTAAGAAATATTTTCAAATGTAATAATCTTCTCAGGAAAATAATGCTTAATTTAAATTTATTTTGAGAAATAATACTCTTTATTGCGGTTAAGTTTTTTTTTTACCTTTACCGTGGATTATTTGAACCAATAACACCTCTTTGAGTGTCAGCATGATGCTCTGATAAGTTTACAGATAAATAAACTGCTGTGTAACACTTAGAGTTGTTTACTAAAATTTGTTTTAAAAAATTTGTTTAAAAAAAATTTGTTTAGCCTTTTTCCACTAAAACCACTGTTTATGAAATGACAGGAGAATTAGGAAACATTGAGTTTTCTAGTTCTTAATTCAGGTGGCATTTATAATACTTATCTGCACTAAATTTTAAAACTTAACACCCGTAATAATTCTCCTAGATTACAGTCTTCTCTTTGCCATAACTAGTTTTATGTCCTTGGGCAAGTGACTTATTCTTTCGGAGCCTATGTCTTGTTCTGTAAAAAGAAGTAGCCGAGAAAGACTTTTCTAGTGTTGAATTTTTGAATTTCACACTGGCATGAAAGAAATGTGCTATATCTCCACTGAATTTCTGTATCTTTTTGAAAGGGATTTGTAGAGAGGGTATTGTGTGAGTAAGGTATGGAAGGGGCATTTAAAACATCCATCTGAAGGGAGCATTTAGTAATATGGATATTACACACATCAGTGGTACTTTTCAGCACAGGCATAATGCCTACTTTTTAAATACTACATAATGGTAAATGTTGTTTACTAGCATGTATCATAAATGCTATTTATTAGTATATAGTAACTTAGGACTTAGCAGAGTAAAGTAACAATAAAAATTAAGTGGAGAAAGCTCTTCTTTCTCTTTTCTTTTCTTTTTTTTTTTTTTTTTTTTTTTTTATGAGAGGGAGTTTCGCTCTTGTTACCCAGGCTGGAGTGCAATGGCGCGATCTCGGCTCACCGCAACCTCCGCCTCCTGGGTTCAGGCAATTCTCCTGCCTCAGCCTCCTGAGTAGCTGGGATTACAGGCACGCGCCACCATGCCCAGCTAATTTTTTGTATTTTTGGTAGAGACGGGGTTTCACCATGTTGACCAGGATGGTCTCGATCTCTTGACCTCGTGATCCACCTGCCTCGGCCTCCCAAAGTGCTGGGATTACAGGCTTGAGCCACCGCGCCCGGCTCTTTTTTTTTTTTTTTTTTTGAGCCAGTCTTGCTCTGTCGACAGGCTGGTTTCAGTGGCACAATCGCGGCTCACTGAAACCTCCGCCTCCCGTGTTCAAGGGATTCTCCTGCCTCAGCCTCCCGAGTAGCTTGTACTACAGGCATGCACCACCATGCCCAGCTACTTTTTGTATATTTAGTAGAGACAGAGTTTCACCACGTTGGCCAGAATGTTCTTGATCTCCTGACCTTGTGATCTGCCCACCTCTGCCTCCCAAAGTGCTGGAGTTAACAGATGTGAGCCACCGTACTGGCCAAAAGCTCTTATTTTCTAAATATATAAACCCAAGAAGTTGCAAGTATTCTATGAATTTATTTTGGCTGTAGACCTCTTTATAATTTTTCTACTTCCTCTATCATAACAAAGTCCTTGCAATAGTATGATAACTATAGTATGGTAACTTTTTACAACCACTTTGCAGCTTGAAGTACTATGGCTTGGTACTAAGGGATGTTGAGGGAATGGAATAAACCTATGTTATCTAGCTGCTTCTGGCCCTACCAAGTTTTATTTTCAATTTATTTTTGAAGTGTTAGTTTCATACCACAGATTTATCTTTACTCCCTCTATCTATATATATCAATTATGTATAAAGCTTTTTAGGACATTCCCTTCCCTCTTCCCCATCGCTTCTGAGACATCTCTCTTTACTCCCAAAGAAAGGAGGGAAAGAAGAGAAATACAAGTTTAAAAAATACATATACAGTTAATTCGCATTATTTATGGTAGGTATGTTCTACAAAGTTGCTGTGAACACTGAATTAGTGAATGCTGAACCGCTGGCCCTAGGAGAAATACAGAGTTAGGTTCCAAGGAACCTTTGGTAACAAAATTTTCATCAGCTTATCAATACATAAATTTGTTTTATGTGTGTTTCTGTTAAACACACCTTATTTAATATGTATTGATAATTCATTAGCATTAAACTCACAGCCAACAGCATTACAGGTAGAATATCCCTAATCTGAAAATCCCTAATCCAAAATGCTGCAAAATCTAAACACCAACATGACACTCAGAGGAAATGCTCATTGGAGCGTTTCAGATTTCTCATTTTCAGATTAGGGATGCTCAACTGATAAGTATAATGCAAATGTTCCAAAATCCAGAAGAATCCCAAACCCAAAACAGTTCTGTTCTCAAGCATTTCAGGTAAGTGATACTGAACTTGTATCACTTAAGCCAGAATGAAACTTAACTAGCACATGTATTTTCTCTATAAGGCACATGGTATTGTCTACTTAATACCAGCCAGCACTTCGGCATTATGCCTGGAGGCCATTTTAAACAGCAGAATCACCAACAGAAAACATAAAAATGTTAAAAACAGGCACTAAATAGACCATGAAAGGGACACTTGTTTACAGTATGAGAGGGAGCTGAAACAAGAAGGCAGAATGTTTCCTTGTTTGACCTCAGCTGGGAATGTGCACATTGGGCCACTCAGAATTTTCGCCAGTTTTCACATGTCCACAAACAAGCATGAAAATGCTGCAAGTATTGATTTGGGGGTTCTAAATAAATTTTAGCCAGTAGATGAACTTGCAGATGTGAACCTGCAATCAGGATCAGTTGTGTATATGAAGATCAGTTGTGTGTGTGTGTGTGTGTGTGTGTGTGTGTATATATATATATATATATATATATATATATATATATATATATAATTTATTTTAAATTATACCCCAAATGACTTCTGTATATTTTATTGTATTTCAGAAACAAAATGCATAATATCTATTTCTGAACTTGATACATCTACATGAGTGGCATATGTTGGAGGAGATTAGGATAAAAATGGCATCAAAAAACATTAAAAATGGCATCATTTATCCCACGGCTTTCTGTTCAGTCTTATGCCTACTTTTAAAGCAAGAATTGAGAAGATTACAATTTAAGAATTGTCTAGGATTTTTTTTTAAAAAAACGAATTTTAATTTTTAATCTTTAGTTTGATTTAAACATTGCTTTTAACGTGATGCCGACACCAGCTGTGCAGAAAGGGCTCTCCGAAGAGATGTTCATAGCAGCACACACCTGCGGCTCTTCGTCAGTTCTGGAGGCTCCAGGGCAGTCAATATTGCTTCGTCAAAATACATTCTTTAGGCCTTTCTGTGTGAGTGTAGAACACTCCACATACTTGACAGCCTTCAGGTCATGGGCCAGCATTTCAGCAGTCCTTGGAGTGATAGGCTTCTGTTTGTTCTTGGCAAGTTTCTCACTAGTAGAGGGGTCATCTCTGAGATCAATTTGGGTCCCAACAAGCAAGAAAGGAGTCTTTGGACAGTGGTGAGTTATCTCAGGCACCCACTTTTCTTTCACATTTTCAAATGAAGATGGAGAAACCACTGAAAAACACTAGAAATATATCTGTTTGTGGATAACTCAGCAGTTGTAATTTGTCATAATCCTCTTGCCCTGCAGTATCAAAAAGTCGAAGAGTATATGGCTCTCCATGTATCATAACTATGACTGCATAGTTGTCAAAAAACAGTTGGTACATATTCCAACGGAAATTTATTTGTTGTGTAGGATATCAGGAGATATGTTTTACTAATAGCACCATCGCCCCCAACAACACACTTAATTGTCTGCATTGCTGAAATAGTTTTGTATCCACTTTAAATATTTCAAATCTGATGTTGACCTCAGCTTCTCCACCGGGATCTGTCTAGGATTTTTGTGAAATCTTAAGCTACTCAATTTGTTAAGGCTACTTTTAATTTGAAAACACCTTGCTATTGGGGAGGTAGCTGTTAACTGACATTTTTCTTTCCTACCTCTTGAAAATTGCTAGCACCTGTTCTGTTATTTGCTTTGTTGGGTTTTAGTTTTATTGTGTCTGCTTTTTTACTGCAGCCTGCTTGAAATCCTTTGTGATAGTAGGTGAAGTATAAGTAAATGCATTTGTTTATAAAAAAGAATTTGACGTAACTATTTCTTCAGGATGGGAATGTCTATATACACATACTTCATAGCAAAATTAAAAAGACAAATCTCTAATTTGGAGCCATCATGAAGTAGTAGGGAAAGTATTATAATGATTTACTTTTTTCCATACTTGGAATACACTGTAAATAGAAAAAGAATAACTTATTAATTTTGAAATTATTCTTCTATCTAATATTATGCATTGGTTCTATAGGCTTTGTAGCTGAGCAGTTTCTAAATAACACAGCCACTCAACTGACATACCATGGATTATGTGAACTAACTTCAACGGTTCAGGAAGGAGAACTTTGCGTGTTCTTTCGGAATAATCATTTTAGCACCATGACCAAATACAAGGTATGATATAGAAATAGCTATTTAATCATTATCCTAAAACAAAGGAGCTTAATTTAGAGATGTCTTCTGGTCTGCTTATGAAAGATTTTAGCATAATATTTCTTAACCATCAAATTATGAGGGTAATTATTAAATACTGTACTTAAGGATGGGATGATTAACAATTGAAGTGTTAACCTCAAATCACTTTCTGTTTTTTTAAATCTTTTTCACAGATCATTGCATTAAGAAATATTTTATTATTTTCTTTCTAAGAAGATAAAAAGATAAACCCTAGAGATGTAAATAGAACAATTACTTTTTTTTTTTTTGAGGTGGAGTTTTGCTCTTGTTGCCTAGGCAGGAGTGCAGTCACACATTCTTGGTTCACAGCAACCTCCACCTCCTGGGTTCAAGCTATTCTGCTGCCTCAATATCCCGAGTAGCTGGGATTACAGGCATGTGCCATCACTCCTTGCTAATCTTGTACTTTTAGCAGAGATGGGGTTTCTCCATGTTGTTCAAGCTGATCTCGAACTCCTGACCTCAGGTGATCCTGCTGTCTCAGCCTCTCAAAGTGCTGGGATTATAGGCATGAGCCACTGTGCCCTGCCAGAACTAGGATGACGTCTAATGATGGAAGTTTATGTTTCAATGCTAAAGGAATTTCAAATAAATAAATTTTTGTATTTATTTAGATGATTTGCCTTTATGATAATGTTTGCTATTATTAAAGTTTGATAACTTTAATGTGACCAGACAGTAAATTCTCTAATAATGTGTAGCTTTAAATTCTTCTTATAGTGCCATTTATGGCTCTCTGTGAAAAACATTTACTGATTTACCCTTTTTATCTCTTATATCCATCCTTTTTGTTTTTATAGCTATCAGTTCAGAAGTTTCTCAACTTATACCTAGACTTCTTCACTAGTACAGCAGAATACTGTTGTGATGCCATCAGTAATACACCAAAAATGTTCAGTAGCACTTCATGCATAGGGGGTAAAAATACAAGATATGTTCTATGCGCCAACACTTTACTACAGCCAAAATGGTGTCTATTCACTGATAACCCTCCATCCCATACACACATTATGCCTTCTAAATTCTGCACTTTACTGCCTTATCTCACTCCTTAATCCCTATTTGGAAAGCTCTTCTCATTCCTTTTTGCCTGTCCAAATTTTACCCATCCTTTAAGAAGCATTTCAAATACTAAGTCCTTAGTAAAGATACTTCCACTCTCCTCAAACCAGTGATTCTAAACCCAAATTGTATGCTATAACTATATGAGAAGCTTTTTTAAAAAATGCCAATACCCAGAACCTACCACCAACGTCATTAAATGAGAATCTTTGGAGGTGGGATCTGAGCATCATTAATTTTCAGTGCTTTTCAGGTGATTTTAATGTTCAGCTAAGGCGGATTACCATTGTCTAACTATCCTGTAGCTGTTATTGACTACATCATCTTTTTTTTAAGCCCTTATTGGTTAATACCTAGTTACCAGTTTTCTTCCCATGTAAATGTGTCATTTTTTTTTTCCAAATGAAAGTAGCTTATTAAAGTTGTGAATTGCATCTTCATATTTTCTTCAACACTTTAGTCGATGAATTACACAGAATAGTATAAAATGATGATTTGTTTCCTTATGTAAGAATAACCTAAAGCCCTTGTTCTCCCATTCCTGTCTTAGTTATAGCAATAGCTCATTTGTTTAATTTTAGCTAGATGTATGTCAGAAATGGGCCCAGAGTCATCCACACTCCTCAGAAATCTGAGGCCAAAGGACCTCAAGATCAGAATTATTGCTACATGGTGAATACTGCTAAATCATTTTACTTCTTACTTAACCTTACCTTTCAAGTCTAGGATTTACTCACTTATTTAATGAATATTTACTGAGAATGTATCATGTCTGGGTGCTCACTCGTAGTAGGAGTATGCCATGAGCAAGGCAGCTATGGTTTCTGCCTATTAAGGACCTCCTAGTTTGACAAGGGGCAGATATTAAACAATTACACAAATAAAGTATTCATGTATTTTTATTGAGATACATTTTGTTAAGGATACTTAGCACAAGCTGTGAATGCTTTTATCAGGACTTATAACTTAGGGAGTGTCAGGAAACACTTCTTTGAGAAGGTCACATTTAAAATGATACCTGAGGCCGGGCATAGTGGCTCATGGCTGTAATCCCAGCACTTAAGAAGGCTGAAGGGGGTGGATCACCTGAGGTTAGAAGTTCAAGACCAGCCTGGCCAACATGGTGAAACCCTGTCTCTACTAAAAATACAAAAATTAGCCAGGCATGCTGGTGGGCGCCTGTAATCCCAGCTACTTTGGAGGCTGAATAAAAGGAATGAAGAAAGGCTAAATAGATAGGCAGGCACTAGATCTTGTAAAGTCTCAAGAGGAAAAATAGCCCTTCATTCTTTTTCTTCTCTCTGACTCAAGAGTGAGCAGAAATGAGATAGCTCAGTGAGGAAACAAAGTTTTTGGCTGTCATTGGTGATGGTTATGCAGCCTCCCAGATGCTTCCTTTTCTGTTGAGACCATATCCCCTACCAGGAAGTCCTTTACTGGTCAGCTAGGTATTCTCAATCTTCTTATATGATTGGGGAAGTCTGAACTAAAAACACCTTTCTATGAGGTAATAGTAACTCAGGGAATGTGTGGAGTCTGCTATTTCTCTGCTTTTAAGTTTTTCTCAGTAAACCTTAAAGTCTATGACTAAACAGTATGTCACTAGTGGTGTGTATCTTCCTGCTTCTTGCACATTAAGGTGCTTTGGACTTTGAGGTAAAAGTAAATGTGGGGTTTAGTTAGGAGACTCTTGCAAGGAGCCAATTAAGAGATTATAGTGACTTGGACTAGGATGGTAAAAGAATGGAGAGTAGACAGATTCCAAAGACATTTAGAAAATGTAATCAACCAGATTTGGTGATTGGGTGTGAAAAATAAATAATGATTTCTGGGTTGTGGATGTGGATGAATGGTGGGGAACTGTTTATTGCTTCTTTGACATAGGGTCTCACTCTGTTGCCCAGGTGGGAGTGCAGTGGCATGATCACAGCTCACAGCAGCCTTGACCTCCCAGGCTCAATCGATCCTTCCACCTTAGCCTCCCAAGTAGCTGGGACTACAAGCTCACACCACATCTGGATAATTTTTATGTTTTTAGTAGAGACAGGGTTTTGCCGTGTTGCCTGGGCTGACCTCAAACTCCCGGTCTCAAGGCGTCCTCCCACATTGGCCTCTCAAAGGTTCGGAATTACAGGCGTGAGCCATTGCACCTAGCTGTAACTGTTTATTGAAACAGAAGAGTAGAAGAGAAGGAAGATATAAGATTAGCCTTGGACTGTTAGAGCTGCTTTCTGGGGCGTCTCTTCAAGTGAAAATGCTGGATAAATTGTTTGACAGTGGAACAATTTTGGTGTACAGATAAAATATGGTATGAGAAAAAAAGAGAAGGCCTAGGACAGAGATGTGAGGCATGCCAACATTTAAGGATCAACCAGGGGAGTAAGAACTGGCAAAGCAGATTGAGAAGCAAATAAGAGGAAAAATCTAAAGGATATGGGGGCTGGGCACAGTGGCCCATGCCTGTAATCCTAGTACTTTGGGAGGCTAAAGCAGGTGAATTGCCTAGTATTTTGGGAGTCCAAAGCAGGACTTCAAGACCACCCTGGGCAACATGGTCAAACCCTATCTCTACTAAAATACAAAAAATTAGCCAGGTGTGGTGGTGGGTAACTGTAGTACCAGCCACTTGGAAGGCTGAGGCAGGAGAACAGGAGAATCGCTTGAACCTGGGAGGCGGAGGGGGCAGTGAGCAAGATCGCACCACTGCATTCCAGCCTGGGCCACAGAACAAGACTCTGTCTCCAAAAAAAAAAAAAAAAAAAGAATGAATGAATATGGGATCTTGGAAGCCAAGAGAGAGTGTTTCAAGAAGGATGGAAATCTCAGTTGTTAACTGCTGTTGAGAAGATGGGCAAGGTAAGAATGCTGGAGATGGAGCTAGTAGAAGTGGGGGTTAGGGTAAAGAATTATGGCAGCAGAAGAAACCCAATTTGAATTGGTTAAGAAATGATTAAGAAATGATTTGATTAATGGAAACTTGTGAAATGTTGAAACAGCTTTTTAAAAATTAAGAAATGATTAGAATATCAGGGAATAGAAACAGATTGTAGGCAACTCTTTGTCTATAAGGGGGGCTCAGACATAATGACTCATAATACTAGTGGAGTACAGAACCCTGGAAGAGTTTTTTGGTTTTGCTTTGTTTTGTTTTGTTTGAGACAAGGTCTCCTTGTCTTGTCCAGGCTGGAGTATGGTGGCTATTCACAGATATGGTCATAGCACACTGCAGCATTGCACTCCTGGGCTCAAACTGTCTTCCTGCCTCAGCCTCCCAAACACCTGGAACTACAGGCACGCCACCATGCCTGGCCAGTTTTTGTTTCTTAATATGAGATAGTTGGTCATGGTTAAATATTGTAATATTTAATAGAGAGATTAAAGATTCAGGAGAGGTTGATAATTAATGTTAAAAGGCTCCTAAGGAGATGAGAAAAAAGATAGAAACTTTTATAAGTAGGGCCGGGCGCGGTGGCTCAAGCCTGTAATTCCAGCACTTCGGGAGGCCGAGGCGGGTGGATCACGAGGTCGAGAGATCGAGACCATCCTGGTCAACATGGTGAAACCCCGTCTCTACTAAAAATACAAAAAATTAGCTGGTCATGGTGGCTCGTGCCTGTAATCCCAGCTACTCGGGAGGCTGAGGCAGGAGAATTGCCTGAACTCAGGAGGCGGAGGTTGCGTGAGCCGAGATCGCGTCATTGCACTCCAGCCTGGGTAACAAGAGCGAAACTCCGTCTCAAAAAAAAAAAAAAAAAAAAAGAAAAGAAACTTTTATAAGTAAAGGAGATTGACCTTTGGTTGTATTTATTTTTGTTTGTTTGTGGGTTTTTTTGTTTTTTTGTTTTTTTTTTTGAGACGGAGTTTCACTCTTGTTACCCAAGCTGGAGTGCAATGTCGCGATCTCGGCTCACCGCAACTTCCGCCTCCTGGGTTCAGGCAATTCTGCCTCAGCCGCCTGAGTCTGGGATTACAGGCACGTGCCACGAAGCCCAGCTAATTTTTTGTATTTTTAGTAGAGACGGGGTTTCACCATGTTGACCAGGATAATCTCGATCTCTTGACCTCGTGATCCACCCGCCTCGGCCTCCCAAAGTGCTGGGATTACAGGCGTGAGCCACTGCGCCCGGCCCGTATTTATTTTTTTGTATTTATTTATTTTTATTTTTTATTGAGACAGGGTGTGTCTCTGTTGCCCAGGCTAGAGTGCAGTGGCACGATTTCAGTTCACTGCAACCTGACCTCTGGGGCTCAGGCAATCTTCCCACCTTAGTCTCTCGAGTAGCTGGGACTACAGGCACACACCCCTATGCCTGGCTAATTTTTCAATTTGTTGCAGAAACAGGATTTTACCATGTTGGCCAGGCTTGTCTCAAACTCTTGGGCTCAAGCTATCTGCCTCCCAAAGTGCTAGGATTACAGGCATGAGCCGTGGGGCCTGGCCTGACCATTGATTTTTAAAAGGGACCTCTTCATTGTAAAGGAAAGAAGGAATAGTTTATGAGTACAGCTATAGGTAAATTTGCACATCTTTTTTTGTAGATGACAGGAAGTCAAAAATCTGCTGTATGCTTCAGTTTTCTCTATTATGTGAGAGGCAAGATTATCTACTGAGTAGTGGAGAGATGGTATATTTCCAAATTTGAAGGAAAAATGTTTAAAATAGTCCTTGTAGCACATGAGAGAAAGCTTAGACTGTAATCAAGAGAACCAGGAAATGTTGAGGACGGTAATGATTAAATAAATATGCCACTTTGTGATTTTTCTACAAGTGTATTCATGACAGTATAGGCATGAGGTTAGCTGGGTTGTTGTTCTGTTTGGGGGTTTATTAAGTGGGTGAAGCAAAGGATAGAAGAGCAAAGGAGTTTGAGACAAGATGGTATTGTGGACATAATGATATTTCTAGATTTTTTTTTTTTTTTTTTTTTTTTGAGACGGAGTTTCGCTGTTGTTACCCAGGCTGGAGTGCAATGGCGCGATCTCGGCTCACCGCAACCTCCGCCTCCTGGGCTCAGGCAATTCTCCTGCCTCAGCCTCCTAAGTAGCTGGGATCACAGGCACGCGCCACCACGCCCAGCTAGTTTTTTGTATTTTTAGTAGAGACGGGGTTTCACTATATTGACCAGGATGGTCTCGATCTCTCGACCTCGTGATCCACCCGCCTTGGCCTCCCAAAGTGCTGGGATTACAGGCTTGAGCCACTGCACCCGGCTATATTTCTAGATTTATAGAGATAAATTTTACATAGAGCAAATAAAACACCATTCTTCTCTATCATCTTATTCCTGTACAAGAAATAAATGGAACGGCTATCCTGGTGGCCAGTTACCAGGGAAAATGCCACTGTTACTCTTAGTGACCAGCAAGCCAAAACAGTAATACCGTGGTTTTTATTGTTTGTTTTGTTGTTTTGTTGGTTTTTTTTTTTTTTACTTTTTTTTTTTTTTACTTTATTAAAATACTGAGTTTTATTTCACATGTATATTTTTGTCTCCCCACCCTTTCCATGTCTGACCACCACTGCTATGTCCTATCATAACATACCATACATACTTAAAACCAAGCAAAGGGTGGAGTTCCATCTTTAAAAACTACAGGCATTTTGGACAACATATTCTTGACAATGGTATCTGGACAACATTTATCAAACACGGTAGGGAAAATTCTCACTCTGCATTATAAAAAGGACAGCCAGATAGCAACTGTTACTGAAATGAAATAAGACGGAACATTTTTAACAAATTGTTTAAACTGTTTTCTTAAAGAGACTTCCTCCACTGCCAGAGATCTTAAATAGCCCCCTGGTCAGTCATCCGGAAGCAATTCTTCACATAATTGGTGAACTTGGCTTCCACTTTGGGAAGAGAACCACCTTTTTCTATACTTGCTTGCATTTTTGCTTTAATGTCTTCTACAGAACTAGGTCCTTTTGGTGTTTTCAGAGTTTTTTTCTGTTTTTTGAAGGATTCTTGTCCTTTTGATCTTGGTGTTGATGATGGTTTTGAGTCTTTTCCATTCTGATTTGACTTTTGTGCATTTTTGGCTGGAGTATCGCATATAGATTTCTTCACTGGCACTTTTTGTTCAGTTTCTTCATCATCGAAATCATCATCACCATCATCTTCTTCATCATGATCTTCATCAGCAGCAAGTTTTACTTTTTTCTGTGGAACCTTGCTACCACCTCCAGGGGCAGACCGCTTTCCAGACATACTTCAGAGTTTCACATCCTCCTCCTCCTCGTCTTCTGACTCTGCATCTTCCTCCACAGCTACTAAGTGCTGTCCACTGATATGCACTGGCCCTGAACCACACTTCAATCCTAAGACCACTGTGGTGTTATTTCAAAGCCCCCAAGGGAAATCGTTGGCTGTACAGACATTTTCAAAGTTGCCAGTGTTACTTTAATTGGACTGCTTTTGTAATTCATTGCCTCTGCTTCAACAATGTGCAACTCATCCTTTGCACCAGCCCCTAAACTGACCGTTCTTAAAGATAACTGGTGCTCATTTTCATCATTATCCACCTTAAAGTGATCATCTTTGTCGGCCTTTAGTTCACAACCGAAAAGATAGTTCTGGGGCCTCAGGGGGCTCATGTCCATGTCCATCGAATCTTCCATCGGGTGGCGACACGCACTTAGGTGGAAGAGAAGGCGGACGGAGATAAACGACGACTGCTCAAAAGAACAGCCACTCAGGATGGACTCACACCAGGGAAAAGCTTTTTTTTACTTTTTAATATGAAAAATTATAAGCTTACAGAAAAATGAGACTTACATTAACAAGTTTAACATTGTGCTCTTTTCATCTATTTTTATACTTCACTTATACTTGAATACATTGCTAAACAACAACAACAAAAAAACAACAAAAAATTAGCCAGGCATGGTGGTGTATCCCTGTTGTCCCAGCTCCTTGGGAGGCTGAGATGGGAGAATCATTTGAGCCCAAGAGGTCAAAGCTACAATGAGCTGTGATCATGCCACTGCGCTCCAGCCTGGATGACAGAACAAGACCTTGTTTCTAAAAAAAAAAAAGGAAAAATTATAATAATCGCCATGTTTTTCATCTTTCTACTACTGTGAACTCTTTCTCTTTGGAACATCTATCATATAAATACATTTTATCTCACAGAATTCAAGATACACTTTCAGGCCAGGCATGGTGGCTCATGCCTATAATCTCAGCACTTTAGGAGGCCGAGGCAGGTGGATCCCTTGAGTTCAGGAGTTCAGGACCAGCCTGACCAACGTGGTGAAACTCCCGTCTCTTCTAAAAATACAAAAATTAGCCATGCATAGTGGTACATGCCTGTAACGCCAGCTACTCAGGAGGCTGAGGCAGGAGAATCACTTGAAGCGGGGAGACGGAGGTTGCAGTGAGCCGAGATCGTGCTACTGCACCCCAGCCTGGGAGACAGAGCAAGACTCCATCTCAAAAAAAAAAAAAAAGGATATCCTTTCGGCAAACAGTAAATTTAACATCTAGATAGAGTGCTTTTCTACCTGAGTGGTGTTTATAACTAGGGGCTTATCGTAATAAATTGCCAGTCTATAATAAACTGGCCATCAGACATAAATATCTATAATTCTGTTATTTTGTTAGTGGAGCTCGTTTTTTTTTTTTTTTTTTTTGAGACACAGTCTTGCACTGTCACCCAGGCTGGAGTGCAGTGGTGCAATCTCGGTTCACCACAACCTCAGGCTGGTCTTGGAACTCCTGACCTCATGATCCGCCTATCTCAGCCTCCTAAACTGCTAGGATTACAGGCAGGAGCCACCACGCCTGGCCTAATGGGGCTACTTTTTAAGGATTTTTTTTTTTTTAAGATGGAGTCTCACTTTGTTGCCCAGGCTGGAGTGCAGTGGCACTACCTCAGCTCATCACAACCTCAGGCTGGTCTTGAACTCCTGACCCCATGATCTGCCTACCTCAGCCTCCCAAAATGCTAGGATTACAGGCAATAGCCACTGTGCCCAGCCTAGAGGGGCTACTTGTTAAGGATTTTTTTTTTTTTTTTTTTTGAGACGGAGTTTCACTCTTGTTACCCAGGCTGGAGTGCAGTGGCGCGATCTCGGCTCACCGCAACCTCCGCCTCCTGGGTTCAGGCAGTTCTCCTGTCTCAGCCTCCGGAGTAGTTGGGATTACAGGCACGTGCCACCATGCTCAGCTAATTTTTTGCACCATTAGTAGAGACGGGGTTTCACCATGTTGACCAGGATGGTCTCGATCTCTTGACCTCGTGATCCACCCGCCTCGGCCTCCCAAAGTGCTGGGATTACAGGCTTGAGCCACCGCGCCCGGCAAGGATTTTTTTTTTTTTAAGATGGAGTCTCACTCTGTTGCCCAGGCTGGAGTGTGTGACACAGTGTCGGCTCACTGCAACCTCCACCTCTCAGGTTCAAGCAATTCTGCTGCCTCAGCCTCCCAAGTAGTTGGGAGGTGGGTACAGGTGGGTGCCACCACTCCCAGCTAATTTTTTTTAGTAGAGATGGATGCACTATATTGTCCAGACTGGTCTCAAATCCCTGACTTCAAGTGATCTCCCACGTTGACCTCCCAAAGTCCTGGGATTACAGGCATGAGCTACTGAGCCCAGCCTAATTTTTATTAGGACTTTTCAGAGAGGATCTTGATGAGTCCAGGTATTCATGATTATGTTATATCATTTGCATATCAGGACCTAGGCAAACGGGAAAGTCTGTGATGGCAGGACAAAAATGATTAGCAAGGAAGGATCATCTCCAGTTTTTTTACTGGTTGTACCGATTTCCTTAGGAATTTACAAAACCTTATTTATGAAAATATTTTTTTGCTATTTATTTAATTTTTTGGAGTGTGTGTTAAGATCTTTTGTCATCCAAAGTGTAGAGGTATTTGAGCTGTGGACTTTTCTTTGATAAGAAGGGAAGGGAGGTATATGTGCTTTCTAGTTATTAATGGCATTGTTTAAGGCTCTGTCTCTGTTCTAACTCCTGTCTGGTTTTTGGTTTTGTTTTTGTTTTTTGAGACAGAGCCTCACTCTTTTGCCCAGGCTGGAGTGCAGTGACACAGTCTTGGCTCACTGCAACCTCTGCCTCTCTGGTTCAAGTGATTCTTCTGCTTCAGCCTCTTGAGTAGCTGGGATTACAGGCACCTGCCACCACATCTGGCTAATTTTTGTATTTTAGTAGGGATGGGGTTTCACTGTGTTGGCCAGGCTGGTCTCAAACTCTTGACCTCAGGTAATCCAACCACCTCAGCCTTCCAAAGTTTGGGGATTACAGGTGTGAGCCATCGCACCTGGCCTAGGTTTAGGCTTTTTAGTGACTCTCTATACACCAAAGTGGTGTTTAGAGGACCAGTAAGTGGTGGTTCAGTATACCGAACCATTGAAAATTATATACAAGTTTTAGAAACATGTATATACTTGTCAATGGACAAAGTATTCTCTGCTTATTAACTTCATGATTTCATCTTTATCTACTTATTTTTACCACACTTGATTTTATCTTTATTTTTTTTGAGACAGTCTCACCCTGTCACCCAGGCTGGAGTGCAACGGCATGATCTCAGCTTACTGCAACCTCTGCCTCCCAGGTGTTCAAGCAATTCTCGTGCCTCAGCCTCCCGAGTAGCTGGGATTACAAGTGTGTGCCACCATGTTCAGCTAACTTTTTGTGTTTTTAGTAGAGATGGGGTTTTGCCATGTTGCCTAGCCTAGTCTCGAACTCCTAACCTCAGGCAGTCTACCCACCTCGGCCTCCCAAAGTTCTAGGATTACAAGCATGAGCCACCATGTCTGGCCTTGACTTTGACTTTATAGACTTTGGTAAGCCTTCTGCCATCATGGGGTCACAATGGATGTATTAAACTGACCCATTTTTTGTGAATATTATCTACCAGTCAACCTCATACTTCCAACTAATATAGTACGAACAATGATTTTTATTGCACAGAACATTTTCTCTGACCACAGATATTAATTGACTTGGAAAGTTCTCTTATCATTGCTAGTTTTGTGGTTTACTATTGCTAAATTCTGGACAAATACCTCTGTGTTTCTTTCATTGGTAACAAAGTAAAGTCTGTCTCTGTTAGTTATTACTTATAATAACATCCTCCATGAACCTTTCATTAAACTTTTTATTCTGCACCTGTCCATTGGTAACAAATAGGAAATAACCCTGATTTCTGCTATCATTTATATCTCTTATTTCCTTGTACTTCTACCTGGTTTTCTACAATTAACCTGAGCAGATCATCTTTGCAAAATACACATTTACCTCACGATTTTATTTTTATTTTATTTATTTATTTTTATGAGACAGTTTCGCTCTGTCACCCGGGCTAGAGTGTAGTGATGTGATCTTGGCTCACTGCAACCTCTGCCTCCTGGGTTCAAGAGATTCTCATGCCTCAGACTCCTCAGTAGTTGGGATTACAGGCTCACACTACCATATCCAGCTAATTTTTTATATTTTTAGTAGAGACAGGGTTTCACCATGTTGGCCAGTCTGTGGTCTTGAACTCCTGACCTCAAGTGATCCACCCAGCTCGGCCTCCCAAAGTGCTGGGATTACAGGCATGAGCCATTGCACCAAGCCATCCTCATGATTTTCTTATAAATAATTTTAATTTGGGGGTCCAGATACAGTGGCTTATGGCTGTAATCACAACACTTTGGGAGGCTCATGATTCTATGAAGATCTGTGCTTTTCTTTTTTTGAGATGGAGTTTCACTCTTATTGCCAGCCTAGAGTGCAATGATGCAATCTCAGCTCACTGCAGCCTCTTCCTCCTGGGTTCAAGCAGTTTTCCTGCTTCAGCCTCCCAAGTAGCTGGGATTACAGGTGCATGCCACCATGCCTGGCTAATTTTGTTTTGTTTTGTTTTTTTTTTGAGACGAAGTCTAGCACTATCTCCCAGGCTGGAATGCGGTGGCGCAGTCTTGGCTAACTGCAACCTCTGTCTCCCGGGTTCAAGCAATTCTCCTGTCTCAGCCTGCCGAGTAACTGTAATTACAGGCACCCACCGCCACACCCAGCTAATTTTTGTATTTTTAGTAGAGACAGGGTTTTACCATGTTGGTCAGGCTGGTCTTGAACTCCTGACCTCATGATCCGCCTGCCTTGGCTTCCCAAAGTGCTGGGATTATAAGCGTGAGTCCCCGCGCCCTGCCTTAAGATCTGTGCTTTTTCCCCCTTTTTTTTAGATGAAGTTTCACTCACCCAGGCTGGAGTGCAGTGGCACAATCTTGGCTCACTGCAACCTCCACCTCATAAGTTGAAGCAATTCTCCTGCCTCAGCCTCCCTAGTAGCTGGAATTACAGGCACGTGCACTGTATCCTGCTAATTTTTTATATTTTTTAGTAGAGATGGGGGTTTCACTGTATTGGCCAGGCTGGTTTCGAACTCCCAACCTCAGGTAATCTGTTCACCTTGGTCTCCCAGAGTGCTAGGATTACAGGTGTGAGCCGTCGCGCCCAGCTGATTTGTGGTTTTCAACAGCATAACTAGATTGATTTCTGAGATTAGAGTGAGGAGACCATAAGAGAGCAGTGCTTTCAGGGCTATTCCAGTGGGTCTAGAAAGTGAGATGACTGCCGGGCGCGGTGGCTCACGCCTATAATCCCAGCACTCTGGGAGGCCGAGGCGGGTGGATCACGAGGTCAAGAGATCGAGACCATCTTGGTCGGCAAGGTGAAACCCCGCCTCTACTAAAAATACAA